GCATCTTGATTATTAAATGTCTGGGTGTGTTTGTAATTGGGTTGATGTAATTTGAGGTTCTATATGCTTCTGTTAGCTGAATGTCTGATTGTTTCCTCATATTTGGGAAGCTTTCAGCTATTACTTCTGCCTTTATTCTTTTTATATCATGTATACTGACTCCTCCTTTTTCATTCATGCCTGTTAATCTCACGTTGTTCATCTTTGCATTGTCTATTAGATGTTAAATCTTTTTTCCTGCATCCTAGTTATTTTTAAGAGAACTTATCTTACCTTTTCACTAGCTGCAATGTTGTCTTCAAGTCTGAAACTCTACGTTCACTTTCATTGAAATGGTTTTGCGAGCTTGTGATTGAGGTTTTAATTTCCTGCATATCTCTTTGAATCTGCTTCATGCATTCTATTTCTTTCCTATATTACTCATTCAAGGATTTCGAATCTGTTCTGTTGATCCTCAGGTGTTTTCTCAGGCCCTTGCACTTACCAGGGAAGTGCTTATTGCACTGAGCCATCTCCCTGGCTCTTGTAGTATAATTTTAAGTCAGAGGCTCTATTTCCACTCACCTTGCCTTTGTTGTTCAGCTTTTCTTTATGTATTCTATGATTTTTCTGGTTCCAAATAAATTTTAGGAAAGTTTTCTCTAGATCTGTAACATATACTGATAGTATTTTGAATAGGCTTGCATTAAATCTGTGTAACAGTTATGGGGGTATAGTTATTTCACAATATTTGCTCCTCCTATTCAAGAGCAATGAATATCTTTCCATTTTCTGAAAGCTTTATATATTTCAATACTGTTCAGACTGGACTTTTCCCTGGTGGTGATACAAAGTCAGGTTTCTTTATTATGATAATTCCCACAGAGAGCATGTCTCTGGAAAGCATGTTCTAGATAGTGTTTATCCTCCTGACATCTTAGTACCTTGCCCCTCAATATTCTGGGAGTCCCATTGAGTTTAATTAAGGAAACATCTCTCAATGAGATAGAGCAACTGAATGATAAAATAATATGCACTACAGTTCAAATACAGCTAAAATATTCAAAGACATTGCCCATACCTCATGGAATTTTTGTCTCTGTTAGTATTCAGAGAACAGTTATCTTCACAACAGATGTGATGTACTTCAGGAATGATACAAGAGGTTTCAATTTTTCATTATTTATTTTGATATAAATTTGTCTCCTGCATATGAAGTCAGGCCAGTATATCTGGCTACTAATCCAAATAATCTGAAGGCTAGAATACTTTTTATTAAAGAATTTCAAACATGTGTCTGAGCTACTCATGGTTCCTTTTCTGGCGAAACGAGGCTTTTGAAACATCAAAGTACTTATTTAATATTTATTTCTTTTAAGAAAATATTTAGCTTACAGTTAAGATTTCCATCACTGTAAAACAGTTTCAGATTTCTTGACATTGTGGATCATTGTTCAAATTATTATAAAGATTTGCAAACACATTAAAAGTAATTTCATTCTGAATGTCTGATGACTCAACCTTCCTGCAAGCATGGAAAGAATCAGTCAATAGAAACATTCTCATGTTCCATGATAGTGCATGTGTTGTTTAATTTTTTTGATACATACAGATGATATCAATGCTTGGAGCTGTAATCATCTAGGACCAAGTAGAAGCATCAAAATATAGAACTTCAAACAAATGGTTCTCTCCTTACAGGTAAGTTCAGAAAGTAATTATTTGTATAATCCTTAGCTGGACTTTTCACTCTGCACACTGTTGACATAGGAACTCAGAGATGTTTAAAAACTTTATACTGCTCTGATAAACACACGTTGTAGGCTCATTTTATATATAAATAAACCTACATTCTTGTTTTGAACTTTGTATCGTCATTTCCATGTGTTTCCTTCTTTAAAAAAACAATTTTTAAAAAACTAGAAAAAATAAATTTTTTGTTAGAGTCACTGGCCCCAACTTCTGAACATTGTTGAGAATCTTAAATGTTGAAGTGTGATTTAACATCTGCAGAAGTTAAGAAGTAAGTCTATAAAGCATAATGTAATGTGTAGTTTAGTCAGCAAGATTCTAGGTTAAGTTTTTAAAGTTTTGTGCCAAGTAAGAAGAAAAACCAAATTAAATTTGAACTGAATTGATCAGGTTTGTATAATATGAGTAGAGAATTGCATGTAGATGCTTGCTTGTAAAACATGTGTGGTCCAAGTATAAAATTTTTGCATATAAAGACAAACGGTATAAATATGCTGACAGAACGCTGAAGTACAGGAAGTTAAACAAGGATGAAGAAATGTGAGGGAAGATTGAAAGAGCAGTATTAAGACTGACAAAGAGGATGAAATCAGCAGCATGAACAGAAAGACCACACGTAAAATAGAAGATTTTCCATGTCTGTGAAGTGGAAAGAGTAAAAAATGCATGAATCAATAAAAAGTAAGTGTCAGCAGAGATGAAGACAGCAATTGTCATTACTAGAATTGCTTTTAAATTAATATTGTGCTAGGAAATATTTCACTCAGAGTTTTCTTTGTGTGCATGCAACCTTCTTGGCTCTGCTTCTTATCAACTCTGTCACTGCTTTGTTTTCTTCTCTTTCATACCTCCCATCATCTTTTCTCCCCTCCAATCCCTTCTGCTTTCCTCTCTGAACTCTCTTCTATAAACTACTTTTCCATATTTATTTATTATATCCTATGAACATTCTTAAAATATGTGGAAGCCTTTTAATGTGTCAATTTGAGATTTCTGTGATTTGAGAAGTTTCTTCAATCCCAAGAATATAGAAAATCACACTTACTTTGCTAATCAGAAGTAAATATGAAATAAGTCTTGTTCTTTTACAATAAATATTTAACCCATGTTTTTTTTTTTATTTTTGATGTTACCTCCATGAGGGCTTCCTTCAGCTTCCAGACAGAAAGTGAGTTAAGGGAGACTCATTTCACTTTCACATGCACATGTCTGTATGCATTTCTATCATGATTATTCTCTAAGAGCCCTAAAGGTAGGCTTTCTCCATCATGAAATTTGAATCATTAAAATATCTGACAGTTCAAGAGGAGAATATGTGTAATGCTTATGTAAGGAATGAATAAAAATCATAAAATTTCACAGAGTCACAAGTAATAATTCTGTTTGTAGATATTTTATTCTTAGCGGTGACACAAGAGCACACAGAAGCACACATGGAACAAAGGGGAAATGTAACTGAGTTTGTGCTCTTGGGGCTCACTCAGAGCCCCCAGGGTGAAAAGATATTATTTGCTGTATTCTTCCTTATCTATATGTTGACAATGACAGGCAACATATTTATTGTCTTAACTGTGGTGCTAAGCCCAGCCTTGGACTCCCCAATGTTCTTTTTTCTTGGCTACTTATCCTTTATGGATGCTGTTTATTCCACTACAGTTACCCCAAATATGATTAAAGACCTACTTTATAAGAAGAAAACCATTTCCTTCAGAGCTTGCATGACACAACTTTTTGTAGGTCACTTATTTGGTGGCATTGACATAATAATCTTAGTCGTCATGGCCTATGATCGTTATGTGGCCATCCACAAACCCTTGCACTATCTGACCATCATGAACCAACAGCGGTGTGCTCTGCTGCTGCTGCTCACCTGGGTTGGGGGTGTTGTGCATGCTGCCCCACATGTTCTTTTTGTTTACAACCTTCCTTTCTGTGGCCCCAATGTCATCGACCACTTTATCTGTGACATATATCCTTTAATAAAACTTGCCTGCATAGACACCTATGTTGTTGGCTTCACTGTACTGGCCAATGATGGGGTTATTTCTATAGCCATATTTGCAATCTTGCTGGTTTCTTATGGTATCATTCTGCACTCCCTGAGGAACCTGAGTCAGGAAGGGAGGCACAAGGCCCTATCCACATGTGGCTCCCACATCATGGTGGTTGTGCTCTTCTTTGTTCCTTGCTTGTTTATATATGTGAGACCTCTCTATACCTTACCCAGTGATAAATATTTAGCTGTGTTTTACACTGTTATTACTCCTATGCTGAACCCTGTAATCTATACTCTAAGAAATGCAGAGATAAAAAGTGCCATGAAGAATCTCTGGACAATGAAATTAATAAAATAAAATGAAGCAACAGAGACTGGTATCATTTGTGTTCTGTGAAGAGAGTTACTTCTTGTAAAGAATTCCCATGTAAGGCTAGGGAGATAGTTAAGTGGAATAAGTGTTTGCCTGGTAAGTGGAAGGTCCTGAGTTAAATTCCTGGTACCACCAAAAAAAAAATTCCATGTGGTTATCACGTCTAATAATTACACTAAAATGGAAAATGTTTATTATGCAGATAGATAGATAGATAGATAGATGATAGATAGATAGATAGATAGATAGATAGATAGATAGATAGATAGATAGAATTATGAGGATTTAAGGGGTTACTGGTGGTTTTCCTGTGTCTCAGTTTCTACTCCACCATGGATAATAAATGGTTCTCTAAGTAAGACCAGGAGGACCAGTTACTGAAGGATTCTAGCTACATCCAGTTAAATCCTCTGAACTGTTACTGATGCAGTCATCATGGTTATGATCACCATTTAGTTATTTGGGGATATTTGACACGTATATCTTTTTAATCTGCTGTTCTCTATTCTGGGACAAATTGGTAAATATTTATTTGGTCATCTTTAGAATAAGAATCCTGAAGTTTGCTCACTTATTAAAAGACAAGTAGTTTTACAGTATGAAATAATTACAGGAGAGAAGAAAAGAGACCCATTTTCTGGTTCTATTAGTGGGCACAGCCATCACGAATGATTGTTATTGCTTATAGAAGTAGTGGGAATTTAAGTGGTTCTCCTTTTTTTTCCAAAGGCAATAATAAAAGCTGTTTTGGAACCACAATACAGCTTGAATCCTTTTGCCTGAGAGATACATAAATGGCCTCATGTCCAAAAGTCTCTGGATGTGTGTCCTCTGTCCTCCATTTTTTTAAGGAAGAAAGGCTACCAATATAAGAGCTGATAGTAGTGCCCAATGCAGTGTGAGGTGTGGCAGGGTTAAAGTATATAGTGTTCAGCTATAACTTTGACCTTAGGTGGCTGCGGAGGTCTAACTCTGCCCTGCTGGTTTAGCATGTCGTGACTGGCATTATTGTTGTCCTGGACCACAATTTCACACCACTGGAACAGTTTTCAGATAAAGAACATCCCTTCTCAGTACTAACAATAAAGGACCAAAGTAACGTTTGTGAATTTAGTTTTATTTCAAGCTGAAGAGAAATATTTACTCTGGACACTTTATGCTGAGGAGACAATATGATGTTTACATATTTCAGTCTAGTTTATTTCACTTATAAGTATAGTCTCAAGTTGCATTTACCTACAAAAGCTTTGAGTTTATCCTTCTTTATAGCTGAGGAGTCCTCCATTGTATAAAAATACTACATCTCTTTAATCCATTTCTCAGTTGATGGTCACTAGGGTTATTTTTGAGATTTTTCTATACAAATTGTGCTGCCATAAACATACATGCACATATATCGCTGTGGTATAATGGTTAAAATTCTTCTAGCGTAATACCCAAACATGTTAAATCTTGGTCAAATAAGATCTCTGAATCTAGTATTCTTAGGAATCTCAGGGATCTGAGATCATCTCAAGGGCCCATTTTTGTATGGGGTCTTTGAATCTGTGGGCTCTGACTTTTTTTTTTAGAACTTTACATTCTCCAATTCCTTTGTCTCAGGAATAGTTGACTAAGTTTTTCTATTCTGTGGCTTTTCTTTTCATTCTATGGGTGGTTTCTACTGATGTGCAAAATTCTTTCAATGAGATGCAATTCAAGTTGCTGATTCTTGGAAGTACTTCCCATGCAGTTTGGATTTGTTCTTAAATTTTCTGCTTACCTGTATGTCTGAGATTCGTCCCTACTTTATCTTCCTATACATTTCGTGTTCCTGTTTTATTTAGATCTTTGATCCATGTCAACGTTAGTTTTATGCATTCTGATAGACATAGGTCTATTTTTAGTTTGGCCTGTGATAAGCCAGTTTTTTTTTTTTTTTTTCCAGCACCATCTATCAAAGTGACTATCTCTCTTCCAATGAACAGGTTTGGCCCCTTTGCCAAAGATAAGGTGATTGAAGGTGTTGATAGCTGTATCTGCATTTTTAATGTGTCACACTGGCCCTCAGGTCTGTTTTCCTACCAGAATTTTGCTGATTTTAGTATAGTAGCTTTGTAGAATCATCTCAAGTCAGTGATTGCGACTCCTCCTGCCTTCTCTTCACTGCCCACAGTCGCTTTTATGATTCTCCATCTCTTCAGTTTCCAAATGAATTTTAGCAGTGTTTTCTCTAGAAATGTGAGTCATGCTAATGGTATTTTGATTGGGATTGCATAAAATCTATATAACAGTTAAAGAAGTATAACCATTTTCATAATATTGGTGCTTTCTACACATGAGCAAGTGATATCTTTCTATTTCCTAATACCTCTTAGATCTACTTTTTTTTTTAGAGTACTATCATTCTCATTGTATATATCTTTTGCTTCCTTTGTCTGATGGATTTCCAAGTATTTCATTTCTTTTGTTGCTACTGTGAATGGTATAGTTTTAATAATATCAGTGTGTTTGTGGTTGCCATACTTGAATACTATTGATGGTTGAGCATTGATTTTGTATCAAAATATGCTACTAAATTTGTTAATTATACCTAGAATTCTTTTGATGGAGTTAATGGGATCTTCTAGGTGTAAAACCATGTCGTATACAAATAAAACATAAATTTTTATTTAAGATTTAGCTTAAATAACACAAATTTAAATTCTTCCTTTCCTATCATTATTCCTTCAATTTCTCGCTGTTATTTCTCTGATTCATATTTCCAGAACTGCACTAAATAGGAGGAGTGAGAGTGTGCACGTTTCCTTGCTGCTGATTCTAGACTGAGGGATTTTAGCTTCTGTCCATTTTTGTATGATGCTTTGTCATATCCTACATGGTTCTTGCTGCTCCCAGAATAGAGGTTTAGAAAAATAAAGAGAAGAGACAAAAGCTGAGGTCAGGTAGATCTTTTTCTTCCCCCTGATTGGAACAAAGGAAATATTGCTAAACCGAGGTGAGGTATTTATTTATGCATTTCACATATTAATGTCATGTTACTTCATTTTACCTTGCAATGGATTACTAGTAGGGCTTGTTGTTTGGTGGGTTGAAACACTTTGTATTGCTTCAGGTGTTCTTTCTTCTTGACCATGCATTTCCTTGCCCACACATGCTTCACCCGTTCCCTGCAATGGATGTTTGTTTGGCATAGATGAATTTTACTGGATTGACCTAAAAACCATCAAGTCTGATTTTCTTTCCAGGTTTTTATCATAAATAAGTGTTGAACTTCATAAAAATCTTTTTTACATCATTGTGATATTCATGTGATTTTTCTCTCTGGCTTTGTGAATATGGTATATTACATTTTTTATTTGCACATATTGAACTATCACTGTATTCCTGAGATGAGCCCCACTTGTCATGTTGTATAATCTTCTGGATGAATTGTTGCATTGTGTTTGCTAGAATTTTGTTGAGAATTTTTGCATTTATATTGATTAGGGAGATTTGCCTGGTTTTGGCCATTTAGGTTATGTCTTTCTTTGGTTTTGGTATAAGGGTAACACTTCCCTAAAAAAATGAATGGAGGCTTTCTTCCCCTTCAACTTCATTAAAGTTTTGACAAACATTGTCATTAAATCTTCTCTAAACTTGCTATATAGCTTAACTGTGAATCCATCAAAACCAAGACTTTTCATTTATGGTAAATTTTTAGTTACATTTTTTATTTTATCATGTGATGTTGGGTTATTCAGAATACTTACATATTCTTGATTTATGTTTGCTAATTCATATCTTTCTAGAAATATTTTCATTATTCTGTGTTTTCCAACCTTTGAGAGTAAAGATTTTCAAGTTAGGTAATGACAATCTTCTAAATTTCCACAAGACTTTGATTAAACACGTTTCATTCCTCAGTGTATGAATTTAAGTTCTTTCTTTCCTTTCTTAAATAATTTTGGTTAGAGATTTATCAACTTTACTTATTCTTGCAAAGAACCCATTCTTTGATTCATTAATTCTTTTTATTGTCATGTTAGTCTCTACTGTCTCTTCTCCCTTTTGGGGGCTTGAGGCTTGAATTTCTCTTTGTTAGAAGCTTGAAGTGCTTCAAAAGGTTACTTATTTGTACCCGCCTTTTTCCTGATATGAACAATCACCACCACAATTTTTCCTTCTAAGGTTGCTTTCATTGTGCCCTACTGTTATCGCTATATTGTATTTGCATTTTAATTTCACTGTAGATTTTGTTTGATTTTCTCTTTAATTTCATCTGGGAGCCTTTGGTTATATAGTATAGTGGTATTTAATTTACATATCTTTTCTCATTAATTTCAAATTGTTTTGCACTATGGCCAGATAATATTCATGGGATCATTTCAATTATTTGAAGTTTGAGGGCTGACCAAATACCTCAGTGGATTAAATCACCTGTCAGCAGGTGCAGGGGCTCGGGATTCAATAGAGGTAAGCCCAGAGACAGCAAATGAGACTGGGCATGGTGGCACGTGCCTGTTACCCCAGTTCTTAGGAGGTTGTAAACAGGTTGATCACTACAAGTCTGATACAGTGCTGAGACCCTGAACACCCTATAAGGCCTTACCTAAAATAAGAAAAAAATGTGGGGCCAGAGAGATGGCTCAGTAGCATAAACACTTCCCTGGAAAGCACAAGGGACTAAGTTCAATCCCCGGTTCTACCAAAAAATAAAAAGTAAAAAATAAATTAAATTAAAAATAAAAAATAAATTATTTAGAAGTTACTTAGTAATATTCTATGGACCTTTACACTATCTATTTTCGATAATTTCCAATTGCAACTATGAAGAATGCATATTCGATGTCATTGAGTGGAATACTCTGTAAACATCTAAATACCCTTTTTCACACATTAGATTTGGTTCTCTTATTAAAGTTATTGCTCACTTTTCTTCAAGGTGATCTTTTTATAACCATTGGGTGTTATGTACCCTGCTACAATTGTGTTACTGCTTATGGATTTTTTTACATCTCATAATA